TTTTTTTTTTTTTTTTTTTTTTTTTTTTTTTTTTTTTTTTTTTTTTTTTTTTTTTTTTTTTTTTTTTTTTTTTTTTTTTTTTTTTTTTTACTTTCTCCATTTAGGTTTTAGAGAGATACATAATTCTCCTTCGTTCATTGTATATCGTGTTCGGTTAAATAAACGTTCGTTGTCTTAAAACAAAATGATTTTTTCATCACCCTGCAGGTTCATGTGCCACCATCATGTATGCTTGATGGTGTTCATTCACAACATTTTTTTGGGACAGGTGTTATAATATACCACTCTCACAGCATGGGACTTGTTGCCGTGGACAAGAATACCGTCGCGATATCATCTTGTGATATCATGCTATCTTTTGCCGCCTTTCCGATAGAGATTCCAGGGGAGGTAAATATTTTGTAGTCTATGTCGATTATGCCAACAATCATGAACTGTGATTCTTTTACCGTACTTCAAAATAGCTCTCCATTTTCACTTATTTTCTTGCAGGTGGTCTTCTTGCATCCTGTTCATAACTATGCTCTTGTTGCATATGACCCCTCTTCTCTTGGATCTGTTGGTGCCTCGGCAGTTCAGGCTGCAGAATTACTTCCCGGTATTGTTTTCTTTCTTTGACTACCTAATGTTATCACAGAATTTTTTTTGAGTGTAAACACACCAAAAGGTGAACTACATGAAAGATCCCCTGTTAGAACTTAAAAATAGAAGATTATTATTGTTAAAAGGGGTCTTTAGATTTACACCAATAACTTGCATTAAAGACAACCAAATCCATAAAACTATCAAAAGTGAGACTGTATCTTTGGAAATCCTTCCATTTCTCTCACGCCAACGCGCCCATAAAATCATGTCGTTAGCCAGCCACAAGAGCTTCTTTGGACTATGAAACAGGTGACTCCCAAAGATGGATTCTAGTAGACCATGAACATTGTAATACGTAACCCAACACCAACCAAAAACTTCCGACATAGATATCTTGAAACGATAAGTAACGGAACAAAAAACAAATAGGTGGCCTGGACATTCTGTGTCAGATGAAAAAGCTCCCTTTCCATGCTGTTCATTGACTGTGTTTTACAATAGTTTGTCTTTTGTTTAATTTTATTTTTACCAAGTAAGAAACTCTTTACACTTTCTGAGCAGAATACTCTTTACTCTTCCTGAACAGAGCCTGCATTACGGCGTGGTGATTCAGTCTATCTCGTTGGATTAAGTAGAAGTCTGCAAGCAACTTCCAGAAAATCAATTGTAACCAATCCTTGTGCTGCATTAAATATTGGCTCTGCTGATTCTCCGCGATACAGAGCTACTAATATGGAAGTAATTGAGCTCGACACTGGTAAATGAAGCTTTTACGACGTAAGTAGTAAACCATCAATTATAACATCAAGATGTCTTATAATTATAATTTTATGTCAGATTTTGGTAGTACTTTTTCGGGAGTGCTCACAGATGAGCATGGGAGGGTCCAAGCTATTTGGGGAAGTTTTTCTACTCAGGTTAGTAAGTTTCTCCTCTAAACCAAACTTTGTCGTTGAACGTGGCTTACACCTTGAATCACGTATGCAGCTCAAGTTCGGTTGCAGCTCGTCAGAAGATCATCAGTTTGTAAGAGGTATTCCTATATACACCATCAGCCAAGTCCTTGACAAAATTCTTTCTGGGGCAAATGGACCTCCTCTTCTAATAAATGGAGTGAAAAGGCCAATGCCCTTGGTTAGAATTTTGGAAGTTGAACTTTATCCAACTCTGCTCTCAAAGGCCAGAAGTTTCGGACTTAGCGATGAATGGGTGCAGGTATTCTTCTAGTATGGTCAAGTTTAACTTTCTAAGCATGGTGATTATGCTGGAAGTACATCTTTCCAAGTGAACTTAGTTAGGGACATCTTTTTTATTTACAATGAATTAATATCTTTATATTCGGTCGTACTTCCAACAATAATCAGGATTATGCATGTAATGGCCCAAGCCCACCGATAACAGATGTTGTCCTTCTTGAGCTTTCCCCTTAAGTTTTTTAAAACGTGTCTACTAGGGAGAGGTTTCCACACCCTTATAAAGAGTGTTTCGTTCTCCTCTCCAACCGATGTGGGATCTCACAATGTACATTGAATGTGGTGATGAACTCCCTCTATACTCCATTTTTCTCAATTTGAAATCTGAATTATGTTATACAACTCGAGTGCTCGTTCGTTACTTTTGGCATTTGTTATCAATAGATAATATTGTTTATATTATCGCAATTTGTTCGCTATCTCACTGTTCCTTAACCTTCATTCAAGGCTCTTGTTAAGAAAGACCCAATCAGGCGGCAGGTTTTACGAGTTAAAGGTTGTTTAGCTGGATCAAAGGCTGAAAATCTACTAGAGCAAGGAGATATGGTCTTGGCGATAAATAAACAGCCAATAACATGCTTCTATGACATAGAAAATGCTTGCCAAGAACTAGACAGAATTAATAGCACTGATGGAAAGCTTAACATGACTATTTTCCGGCAGGTGAGCCAAAAGATATGCCTTCACTGTTTTTTTCTCTTTTTATTTCTTTCCTCTTTCTTATAAACTGGTCGTCCAAGTCGGGTGGGGAAAGAGAAATAGTGTCGAGACCAATAGCGTTTATGATATTATGCTTGAACAGATATTACTAAATTTTATATGGTTTCCATGGCATTTCAGGGGCACGAAATTGATCTACTTGTTGGGACGGATGTACGAGATGGGAATGGCACAACCCGTGTAATAAATTGGTGCGGTTGCATTGTTCAAGATCCTCATCCCGCAGTTCGTGCTCTCGGATTTCTTCCTGAAGAAGGTCATGGTGTGTATGTAGCAAGGTACTGCTTTATTAGCAACTTTTCGGTGTAGATTCCAAATTAGATCGTAATACCCGAGCCAGCTTTTATATATTGATTGTCGTAATTATTTTAAAAGCATATTTGCTCGATGTCTGCCCTCGTCTCTTTTCCAGGTGGTGTCATGGGAGTCCAGTTCATAGATATGGTCTTTATGCTCTTCAATGGATAGTTGAAGTAAATGGGAAGCTAACTCCTGATTTAGAGACTTTTGTTAATGTCACTAAGGTATGATTTCTTCGTTTGAATTCATTTTGGTCTCTGGGGTTAGTTTATCTTTAGCTCATTCTATTAATTGACTGAAAAATACCAATGAATCCAATGGATAATGACTGCCACAGCCCCTTCCCAATCATTGCAATCATTGTTGGACACAGAATATTCTTTGAGCACCTGTTAGATAGAGCATAGCGGTGGTGGCACGTTGCATCGGTATCGACTTAATTTGTTGGGTGGCAAAATGGCAATAAGCTCAACAATACCATTTAGCTATCGTTTTTCACTCTATTCATCTTGCTAGGATTGCTGTTAGGATAGGATTAAAAATGTTGGTAGGATATTAATTGGGCTAAATCTATGGTAAATAGATTAAGCGATGAAGGATGAAGATAGACATGGTTTGGTGGTTTAGGCTCGAATGTGAGCCCTCGAGAGAGGGGAGGTTGCATGTAACAGCCCAAGCCCATTACTAGCAGATATTGTCTGTTTTGGCTCGTTACATATCGCCCCTAGCCTCACGTTTTTTAAAATGCATCTATATCAGGGAGAGGTTTCCACACCCTTATAAGGAGTGTTTCGTTCCCCTCTTCATGTCTGCTTTCGCCGATTACGTATCACCACCAACCTAATGGTTTTTAAAACGCGTTTGTTAGGAGAGGTTCTCACACCCTTAGAAGGAATGTTTCGTTCTTCTCTCCATGTCCGCTTTGACCCGTTACATATTGTCGCCAGCCTTACGGTTTTTGAAATGCGTATGTTACGGAGAGGTTTCTACACCCTTATAAGGAATGTTTCATTCCCCTCTTCAACCGATGCGGTTGGAGAGTTATATTGAATTCAAACAAAGTGAGACTCTTGAGGCAATCAAGAATTTCATGGATTAAGTTTCATCGAACCACTCTCAAACTAAACTCCTTCCTTTGTGTATTGTAATTTTTATGAGTAAGGCTATCATCCCTGTAAAATTTCTTCACATTTTGAGCAAGAAGCTTATCAGTGATTCTTTTCTATGTTGATCAGGAACTAGAACACGAGCAATTCGTCCGTGTGAGGACCGTCCATCTCAACGGGAAGCCTCGTGTTCTAACACTGAAGCAAAATTTACATTATTGGCCTACATGGGAGTTAAGGTTCGATCCGGACACTGCAATGTGGCGTCGTGTGACAATTAAAGCATTGGACTCGAATAACCCGTCGATGATTGGAGGTTGAAGTCAAATTGGCTCGAATTAGGGTTACCATTACAGCTGCCTCACAATTTTGAAATCAGTTGAGAAATTTCACAACATTTTTAATCAAATTGCCACACCAGTTCATATTGAAGTAAATAGCTTAATGTTTGGGGATTTCATATTTTATGACTATAGTTTTTTTTGTATATTGGAATAATCATTATTATAGTCAGCCAAAAATGAAAATAAAGTGATTGTACTCTTTATGTTTCTCCTATTAATAGGATCTGACCATTTTGCCCCTTTATAAAATGTTTTTCGAAAATTAATTAAAATAACATCACAAAACAAATATATATATATATATATATATATATATATATATATTCCAAACTTAATACATTAATTTACTCTATATTTCTTTTCATCCTTTACCACTTACCAAACCTGGCGGCTTCATGTGCCGGAGAAGTATACCAACGGTTCTTTTCATCATTCTGGTATAGGTCACTGGGAACGCCCGTCGTGTAAATAAACTTCGGAGGCGGTGGTGGAGACGACAATGTTGTATAAGTAAACCTCGGAGGCGGCAACGGTGGTGGTGGCAGCGGCGGCGATGGCTGCAATTGCTGAACAGATGGGTTGGAACAAGGGGTGGTTGATCCACAATTTATCTCCGCGCTGGGATCAAGCGGACTGGCCAATATCGGCGGGGAGGCTTGTATGAAAGAAAGGAGAAGAGAGAGAAAAATGGCGGCGGAAGGCGCCATTTTCAGGTGTATAAAGCTCTCTGAAACCAATGAGGATTGTGTTTGCAGAGAGGAGATTTAATGAAGAATGTGAGCGTTGGGCTGTACTTGCAAATAGTGGGAACGGGAAGGACAATTTAGTCTTTTTGCACTTTTTTATTTTATTTATTTATTCTTTGAATTTTAAAAAAATACGAGAAAAATTAGAAGGAACATTGAATTTGTGATAATTTATTATTAAATATTTTTAAAAAAATATTAGAAAAAAATAATGAGAATTCTTGAAAGGATTTGGATGGTGAATTGCACGTGGGTGTGTGGTGGGCTCATCAAAACTTCTCTTTAGTAGACGTATTTTAAAAGTTTAAAGAAAATTAGGGCGGTTATAATTACATTTAATTTTATTTTATTTTTATTATTTAATCCATTTAAAAAAGTTTCTAATTTAAAATAAATCCTTTTGAAATTATTATAAGAATTTCAATTCTGATTCGGCGTTCTCTTGGTTGGACACGTGTCGTGAAATGGTAGAGTAGCACACGTGTCGCAGTGCAACTGATGAATGATCTTACTCGAATTTTTTAGAAAGGCCCAATGTACGCTCAAAATGGGCCTAAGGTATGGCCCAACCTATTTTTGGTTGGTTTAAGACGAGCCCAATTCATAGACACCCACAAATTATTAATTTGCAACTCTCGTATGCTATCAACTGTTCCACTCGAACCTTGATCAATGTATGCTTGAACGGTAGGATCGCTGGCCACGTCATTTTCTTTTCACTAATTAATTGGCTTGTTTAATATAATACCAATATTTAATTATAATGAATTTCCTAAGTAGACTCATCCTATTCCTATGTTCTTTAATTCTATGGGACAAGACCACACTAAATGTGAGCATGTGGTGGTTTCTTGACTTTCGTTTTTCTTTTTTCTTTTTCTTTTTTTAATTAATTCATTTTTTTTACGTATACTATTTTAATTTATTGCTCATTTATAACCATCTATATTATTGTTACAACTGGCTACCATCTATATTCGGAGTTTTTTTAGTTTATATAATTTTTTTGGGCTAAATTAATAAAAATATCTTAATATATATATATATATATTTATCTAAAAAAAAGCGTAATTTAAAAGTTACTTTTGAATTAACGGTTAATATTTTATTTCAAAAATATTCTTAAACTTCTACAATAATTTAAAATTTTGTATTTAAAAATAGATTGTGTTAATTTAAGAAATGATCATGTGTTTATAATATGAGAATACACTCTCATGTACGAGGCCTTTTGGGACGCCCAAAGCAAAGTGGAGAAAGTTGTTGATTTTAAAATTTAAAAAAAAAATTAAAAAGGTATTAAAGAAAAAGTTGTATTTTTGAAATATTAATTTAACCTATAATTTTTTTCCCTAACTATTTTAATTTATTGCTCATTTATAACCATTATTATTACAACTTGCTACTCTAATAATAGAAAATAAAATAAAATAAAAAGATACAGACATACTCAAATTTGGTGTTACTTGTAACCATTTAATTTTTCTAGACCTACATGTTAATATATAATGTTATTATTAGTTTAAAAACTCAGAAAAAATATTATAGAAACACTATAAACAACTCAGAGACCAAAATAATTAAAATATTATTGGATAATCCTTAAAAATAGTTATAGAATATAGGATGAATCATTAAGCTTGATAAATTTAAAATTTTGAAATTTATTAAATGTTTTTAAATAAATATTAGATATTAAAATTAACTATAAAATATATAATGACACTTTTTTTATTTTTAATTAAAAAAATTATTCTTCAACTTAAATATAGTTCAACTGATTAAGATATATATAAATTTTTAATGAGTAAACTACAAAAAAAACGAGACGATTTGTTTTAATATTTTACTTAAATAATTGACTGTCGGTGTAAGTGTAGCTTTTATAATTGTTCTAAAAAAATAAATTATATATCATAAATTAGGTTTTTAACTTTTCATCCTCATATCTATTTAGCTTTAAAAAATTTAAATGTTTAAGTTACCTCTTTAAAATTTAAATTATGAGTTTAAGTTGTTATTATCGTTAATATCGTTAATTATGTGTTTTTTAGTTTATCTATTTATTTTCTGAAAAATAAAATGTCCAAAAAAATATTTTAAAACTTATTAATACGTAAAAAAATATCGATATATATATATATAAGAAAAAATATATATTTTTAACGTTGAAAGTCTGAGGTGACAATGAAACTTTACAAACAGCCAAATTGACTGATTCAAGTCAAACGGTCAAAGTCAACTTTCAACTGGTAAACTATGGTGACAGCCTACTTTACATCACCTCCATTTACCATTCGCCACGTACTCACTGCCTTCAATTCTACTCAATTCATCCTATCATTCTAGTTTTTTTTTTTTTTTTTTTTTTTTTACATATAATCATTATTTTTTATAATGGAAAAAGTTACAAAAATTATTAGTCCAAATGTTTTATTTACGACTTTGAATTATGAATATATATAATATTTATTAGCTATATTAATAATATACTAGGTTAATCAATCAAATGCTAATTAATTTGGGTGTAAGATTAGGGTCGAGAATATAATGTTAAATAAATAGGTTATAATGTGCAATAGACACTATGTTTTAAGGAACGTGTGTCATATTTAATTATGACCGTCAATATTAAATTATTATTTTATGTAGTTTTTACAATTAATTTTGTTAACTTATACTCATTTCAAATATAGTAATAACTTAACGCATGTGACAAAAATAAATTACATGATGGGACAAAATTATAAAGTCTAGGCTTGCCATAGATATACCTCTTCTTCAAATAATGTTTCAAATTGCTTTCATAAACTAATTCACCTCATATTTAATAATTTTTTTAAATTGCTGGTAAATGATAGGAAATATATAAAATTAAATTTTAAATTTTAACTAGAATATCTATAAAATCGATAATAAAATTTGAAGATAATATATTATGCTCGAAATGTTGTAGTTGTCAAATTGTTATCGGGCTCATTTTTGGCTGATCAGTGGCGTAAGTATTAGTTAGATCGTTTATTCAATCTTCTAAAAGAAATTTGGTGTAATTTATCCCATTTTCGCGTGCTTAATGTCGATGTGAATATGTATAAAATATTTTTAAATTAATAAATAGGCATTTTTAATAAATTTTACTTTTAAATTAGTTATATGATTTTTTTTTTTTTTTTCCGTCCTGATATAATTAAAATATACTTAATTAAATTAAAGTCAAAATAAATAAATAAAAAAGTGGATGAAATGCGGCTTGGGCCGACCGAATCGGTGGGATAAATTCAGAGGAGCATAAAAGCCCTGCGCTCAATTCGCTTCACTCAACAAATCCTCATTTTCCTCAGTTTTTGGCGTCCGCCATGGCTAGGTCGTTCCCAAGCTTTTCGAATCACTCTTATCATCTTCCATTTTCCTCAACATCGCTCATCGCTTCAATCGCAGTGCTCTCCATCTTCGCGCTCGTGATTTTCCTCTGCACTTCCTCGAGAAAATCGAAGAAACCGAACCTGTTTCAGCAGAGGAACTTTGTGGCGAAGGTTAACAGTAACATCAGTTCTCGAGCGATTTCCATCGCGAAGATGATTTCGTGGAGGAAAGTCGAGGCGGCGGATGAAGATGAAGGAGGAGGAGGAGGAGGAGGAGGTTTTGATTTGAGTGGAGATGATTATGATGATGAGGTTTGGAGGAAGACGATTATCAGAGGCGAACGGTGTCGTCCGCTTGAATTTTCAGGCAAAATTGATTATGATTCTGATGGTAATTTGTTGTGTGATTCGAAGAGGGAGTTTAAATCCGTTGGAAGAGGATTTCGCGGTTAAATTAACTTTATCGTGATTGTGAATTTACTGTTTCTTCTTCTACTTATTATTCTCTCGCACTGATTTTTGTTCGTTTCCATTGATGAAAGCTTAAGTTTCTTGATTTTCTGCATTTTTTTTTTTTTTTTTTTTTTTTTTTTTTTTTTTTTTTTTTTTTTTTTTTTTTTTTTTTTTTTTTTTTTTTTTTTTTTT